GCCTTTATTCTGGTTTGCACTGGCCTCAAGCACAGTCCCACTCTGAAAGCAGCATATTGGAGATAAGATCCATCACAGAGAGCTGGGTCAATTTTGTCCGTAATGAATTGACTTAATTATTTCTTTCTATCAGTGAGCAAAATCCAGTCTGACAGAGAGGCAAAGCACAAAGCATAAGTGCAATTCAATCCTACTTAAGACCTTTTTTGTTTGCAGAGGAATGAATTTAGTCACTGTGAGTAGCAGGAGTGCATGCAACCACACAAAATCAAAAAGCAATAAGTAACTAGAACAAAGAGGCAAACTTGCAATATAAGGAAGTCTCCAAGCTAGAGCTACAGATACCAGTTTAAGAGTACCGGTACTCATATCAGCTTTGCGTCATCCCACCTGGGAGGGATTTATAATTTATATTTTTTCAATAGCAGATGCAGGATATCATATTCTGCAATATATAGTAAATTCAGATCGGAAAATAATACAGTATCTGGTAATTTCCATATTCTGTGAGAGTTATCCTCAGGGTTTTCTCATTATCTCTTCCATTCCCTACAAATCCTTCCAAGGACTGCTATTTTCAGTTACCTTCTCTCAAGCTGAAATATTTGCCTTGCTTAGAAGTGTTCAGTCATCATTGTTAGAATACAACATGCTCACTGACTAAGGATGCTTGCTTACTTACTAAATCCAGTGCAGATCCTTTCCTAGGCAAGCTGGAGCATACTGGGAAGCCTGGCCAGGGGCTGCTTACTTCTCTGTGGAGAAGCGGAGATGTTTTTTTCTTCCTTTGCAGGCTGAAGAATTACACATTTAAGCACTCTCAAGCCTAAAAGCAGGAGAATATATTTATTACAATAAACTAAAAGCGCAGACACATTTCTGTCTAAGAACTCTAGATACAGATTCAGTAGATTATATCTCTCCATGCTTATTTTACTGCCTCTTTGGAGTTGCACACATGCAATTAAGTAGTCTGCTGGAAAAAGGCTATCCACAGCCCCATATCTGAAAGCACAGTGGGCCTGATAATCAATTTGAGCAAGTCGGCTATGTTGGTGCAAATCAACTATGTTGATTTACAGTGATTGAGAGCTGGGCTCATATTTTTAAAGTTAATGTGTTCACTTAAAAATATGTATGTTTCATTACTCCATGAGCTGTGGTTCAAACCAAAGATGAAATCTATTTTTAGATTATATAAATAATATTATGGCATAAAAGCTGCCCCAAAGTCAAAATGTAAAAAAATTAAAAATCAAGAAAACTGTTAGTTAAACCAAATAGTCACTTAATGTTCACTGTTCAAAATATAACTTTAAATTGTTCCTATACTGTAATTATGAAAATTACTTCAAAACATTCCCAGTAATTTTGCTTTGTTGTCTCATGTCACTACAAAGGCATTCTGCATATTTAACATAAATGTAGCACTACAATCTCAAGATTTTTTCATAGAATTGTATATTTAAAATTATAAACATATTTTAAGTGTATAAAACTGCTGCAAATGGTTATTTGATTATTTATTAATTTGCTTCTGATGAAATATGTATTTTTACTTTGTATTCCTAGTTCCATACGTGCTGGTATTTATTTGCAAATATTACCTGTGTTTTCATTTTACTTTTTTGGCTGGAATTTTAGCAGTAGCTCAGACTGTACTCAACACACAGTCACTGAGAATTCAGGCAGAAACTAGAACTACATCTGAAATTTTATACCAGCTTATCATTAAGAGTCCCTTACTTGTCTACAGCTGCTATTAACAGGTGTTTTGGATTCTTCAACACTGGAAAATACCAGTGGTGGAAAATACTGACACTGTATTTTCACTTGATGAAGAAACCAGCGACTACCCATACTTCCTACTTATTTAGCTAGCCATTCCATACTTGTATCCTAGATACTGACTGATCTGTTTTTAGTATTCAGCCTGAATACCTGAAATGAGCAGCTTCAATGAAATCTCGGTCCCTCCAGAGGTAGGCATTAGCGTACGTGCTTAACCTGAGCCATTACCCACGCTACAAGTAGTATGTGCAAAGTACCTGATTTCATTTAAGAAGCTTCAGACTCAGTTCAGGTATGTTTAAATTGGAGGGTCCTGATTAAATTACAGCTTACTAAAATTCATGGCTCAGGACGCTACAAACTTCTCGGTTTTCCAGCAGGAGCTTCATGAGGGGCTGTGCTGCTTCTCAGTTAACAGAATCCCCTACACCTATGTGGTATGATCCTACACTGCAGCTGCATCTATTATGGATTTCAGGAGACAGGTATTTTTCTTAGGCACTTACTTAAAATTGTTTGTATTATACAAATGAAGTTATCTTCTGAAGTTTAAAAATAAATAGTCTGTGCACATGCAATTATGGAAATCAAATGTGAAGCTTTTAAAATGTTTCCAAGCAGAAAACTATGGAATAGATTGTTCCTTATAAAAAGGGAGAAAATCTTGATTGAGAAGGTGTAATTACCTTAACGTGACAAGTGGCAATGATTTAATGAGACCTCTTGGTGGGACCCAAGACATACAAACACCCTGCAAGACAATTTTAAGGAGGCAATGTTTCTCTCTCCCTGTAGGCGTACACCCACATACACGAGGTACTGGGATGCAGAAATTGAAAAGCCGTTTTTTGTGAATTTCTATATTGGCAGCGAACAAAAACGAGAGAGAGTTCAGTGCAGCGGTGGCTGAGGGGTGGCGGGGCCTACCTCGCCCCCGGCCCGGCTACCGCCAGGGGGCCGGGCTTGTGACAAGGCAGCCCAGCTGCTTCTGGCACAAGGGCTGCAGGACACCTAAAAATATTTTAGTGATACTTTTATTTTTATAAAATAGTATAGATTTATGACAAATGTAAAAGTGTATTTATGGCGCATTCTGTTCCTGTTATGTTTTCTGCTCTATCGAAATATATTTATCTGCCTATATGAATATATGCGACCTGAGGCGTCCGCCGGCACCGCGAATTCACCTTGTTTAGGGACGGGGTCGCGCACCGCAAATAAAAACTACCAGAGGAAAGATCTTGTCGCCTTTTCTTGTGCCAGACCCCTCCTCGTCCCGCCGCCGTGAGACCCCCCGCGGGGCGCGCGCGTCCCCTCAGGGCGGGACAGCGC